ACACTAGCGCATCATACAATACACTATCGACTACTGGCCATCAGCTGCAAGTGCAAAAACATTTTTGTTAAATCCAATATGGCTGACAGATGAAAAAGCAACTCAGGAATATCCAGTCCCTCCTTTTACCGTAGAAAACTCTTGCAGGTAAAAAAAATATATATACTGTGGCATCAAGTTACCCCCTAAAGAACAATACTACTGATGTGTTTTCCAAATAACAACTTTATATTTCAAGAAAATTACAACTGAGCACCTTAGAATTTTTTTTCAACAAAATTTTTATCCCCACTCCTTTTTATGCTTTAAAAAAAAAATCAAAAACACTTTGGGGAAAAAAATCCTGACATAAAGGATCATAATTCACGCATTAAATGTAATGTATGCACGTAATGCCACATCGGCTAAATCTGATCACATGCAACTGTTTGTTGTCAAATGCGTTACGCAAAGGTTCACGTACACACAATTTATTTAACCATTACACGAAACAGTTTTTATAAAAAATGCAATAGTGCACACACACTGTGATACAAGCCGAATACCTGAGAGCGCTTTTGATGTCTTTAATCTCGCCTAACCTGAATGCATTTCATGTTCTCTGCCTGCTCTGCCTCATTCCCACCATTATCACATTTCATTTATGCAGCTGCATGAAACTCCTGAATAGGAGGAATGTTGTCATGAGATATGTGTATGGAGAATGTGGTGCTAATGGAGGGAGCTCGTTTGAGAGGCCTATTTCAGCACTTCACATGAATCATAGACGGCTCTCAAAACACATAGTCCACTGTTAGCTGTTGCTAATAACGCAGCAGGAAGGCTACAGGTGATTTGACGTCTTCTAGCAAAGAAAGACATCAAATGGGTTTTGAGGCAAGTGTGTAAAAAAAAATGTTGAAAAAATAAAAGTAAAACTGATTTTAATTTGCTTCAATTAATTGCATTTGTTTGATTTTTCTTTCTTCCCCCCTCCACACGGCATGTCAGTCAGCTTGCTGACACAAAGTCTACCTTGATCCCTTGATAATCTGCCTAAATTCTTTCAAGTCGCCTAATCCTGGCCCTCATTTTTCATCTCATCCTCTCGAGTTTTGCTTTGGTCCGACATCAAAGAGGCTGAGCCACAATCGTGTTGCATTTCCCTTTCAACTGACAGTAGATAATAGAGCAAAGATTACTGCTAAAACTGACTCGTACAAGTGCATTACAATGAAACCTAACTCATCAAGGGGGAGCTGCTTTTGACTTCCACCTGCACAGAGGAGATATGTTTTCACAGAGAGGTTGTTTTTTCTGTGTGTGTGTTGCATGTAGGTGTTATTTGTGTCATCAAGGGCGCTCTGGGCACAATTTTTAGATCCAGGAGGGCTGAAACATCTAAAAACAGCTGAAAAGAGCTGCTTTAAATAATAACAGTGAGAAAACTGGAATGAGTCATGACATGAAACAGACTCGGAGGATCGTGGAGCTCCGCTAACCTTATCTGAATCATCACTTTTATTTCCTCCTACCTTTTTGGCTTCTTTTCTACGCGTCCCAGTCACTTCACAGCAGGGCCGGTTTTGTTTGACCGTTTGATGGAGTGGGCAGTCGGCTGCATGGAGACCAATCTCCTATATTTAGCTGGTCATCTACTATGACATATCAAACGACAGGAAAGAGTCCAGGGGAGGATGTTTGCAAAACACAGCACATGTGGGAAGTAATGGCAGAAGAGAAATATTTCAGACTGTGAAAAAAAGTCTTTGCCTACTTACAGATTTCTGTTGTTGTTGCTTTTTTTGTTATATTTGTCTGTTTCTCATCATTAGATTAATGTTATTTTCTGAGAAACGTGACCTTAGGAGAAAGAAAAAGCAGTTGTTGGATATCAATTTCATTAAGTTTATGGTTCATCAATGTGAGAGAGAGACTGCAAAAAAATGTAATCTACTGGAGAGAAAATAAAATAATAAAAATACCCGTGCTGGCCAAAACACATCATGGTCTGCATGCATGAGAGAGAACATACACACTCTGAATGCCTGGGATTAAAATTTAGCAACTTCTTGCTTAAGTGGACCAAACTAAACTAAAAAAGTTTAAAATAATTTATGTAATGTACACTGTGCAAGAGCATCTCTTTTCGGTTTCTTTTACCCGTCTGAAGGTGGATGGCTGGAAATGTGACATTAAATGAAATAAGTAAGAATGGACGATTTATTAAACATATTTTCAGTGTTTTTATTACATTTTTGACTCCAATGTATATTACAATTGCATGAGATTATTTAGCAACATTGTGCGACTTTTAGTAGTTGTTTTCCTTCCTGAGGAGCTGGCAACACTGTCGCTACAGCTGCTAGCCTGTCTGTGTCGTCCTACCTCAGCTAAACACAGAGCAGCTGAATCACTTATCAAATAATTTTCCAACATATCAAGTGAATCGTGAAGTTTGGAAAGTAAGAGAACAGCTTTTGCCTTTATTATTATTATTTTTATTTGTGCACAATTAACTGGCACTCCGATGACATATCACCGAGACACATCAAGAACCTAGCATAACCATGCTACCGCTAGCCAGCGAATCTTGAGCTTTTTTAAGACTGTAGTTTGACACCTCCAATGTATGTTTAGAAAGAAGTGGCATAATTTTGGCGAAGAATCAGACTGGGAGTCCCCAAATGAGTTGAATCAGTACTGGTGCTGAAATAAGTCCAGACCAGAACCTCCCTAACATGACTGACGGGACACACAACAAAGACAGGAACTACAGACCTCCGTCAGGGTTTGAACTCTGCAGGTAAAAACTTCTGTCACTCTGAGCTGGTAGGTGAGCTGAGGATGAGTTGATCTCAACACTTAGGGCAAAATCAAAGTGACATTGTAGGTTTTCTTTGTAATTCCAGAGTGAAGTAAGGAAAGGAGTCCTTTTGGGTACTTCAAAAGGTTTAAAGTGTTAGATCTTTTAAACCGGTTATTCAGACTTTAATCAGCTTTTTAGTTCAAAGGTTACTTCACATGCATATTGATGCAGGTTTTTTAGACTGTCTAAAAACTCTTAGCATCATAAAAAAAATAAAAAAATTGACAATCAGCTGTATGGATTCTGAGCATCCTTAAAATAATGGATGTTCCAAATCCAAATCAAGGCTGAATTTATTACATCACTTAAGTATAACCTCCAGGTGTCCAGAGAATGAAACTAGTGTAATTAAAAACATGGAAGTGTTCTTGGAATACAAAAGTAATGTAAGGTACATTTTAGAAATAAGATTTTCTTTCACTGAGCTGCTAACCGAACTGAAATAAAATCCAAAAACTGCATGTTGTCATAGTGATGTGAAAAAACATTTTCCACCTTAAAGTCAGATTGCTTCTGACTTCGTTTTATTATTTTATTATATTTTTATTATTATTATGCCTATATATCTCAGATCATTCACAAAAAATGTTCAAACAATCTGAATTTTAAAAAAAGATTTTTTTTTTAAATAATGATGTTATTTATTAAACAGGCTCTCCAATAGCCAATTTAGATATACGTGGAAAAGTACAACAGCAGGATCCTCCACAACAATAAAGTAGATCACCATCACCAATTATCACAAATACTTGATGACAGTTGTTAGGTTCAGGAAACTTTTCACATAGGGCCAAGTGATTTGGTTAGTTGTTTGCCCTTGAGAAGTTAAATCATCATTGAAAAAAACTATTTTCTATTTACTTAGGATGTGTCATGATGTGTTGGTTGAAGAGGACCCAAAAGCAGAGAGGCTGAGGTGGCGAGTAGATTTGAAGATTTAATGAAAAAATATGAACAATGGCTAAAAAACCCATAAGAGAACAGGGACTGTTGAAGAAGATTTTAGGTTATAATATTTCTTAAGAAAGAAACTCTTAAGCTCAATCTTCTTCGATCCCAGGTTCTCCTGGCGGACCGCGTGTAGCCACACAGAAACCGAGTGCAGACATCACAGAATTACAGAGTTTAATCCAATAGAAGACAACGCATAAAATTACAACAGAAACTGCAGAACAACAGAGACGTACATTCATTTACCTGAGACAAATGGAAAAGAAGAAAGAAAAGCAAAGACGTCTTTGGAGAATTGCGAGAGCAAATCTGATTTGTTACTCCTGTGTAGAAAGTTTTATAGTAAAGGCGTATTCTTGTCTTTAATTTATTCAAATAAGGCGTACCTTTGCTCATCCAACCAGAAGCTATCTCTGACCCTTTTAAAACTCCCTGCAAGTCACAATCTAAGACCATTTGTCTCCATTGTTTAAACAAAGTGGAAGCAGAGACTCTCCTGAACTCCTGCTGTTTTATGGCTTTTCACAAATGAGTGTGAAAAGCTGGAACTTCTCCTGATTGTTTCCCACACAGATAAAGGACAGTTCAAAAGATCTTAGCAAGTCATCTGCTGTAACTACAGGTAACATAAAGGTCAATAGGCCAGAATAAGTTACTAATTTTAAAACTATAATTAGGCTATTTCAATCAAGACATGTTAAGTTTTAAAACTAGCATATTTTAAATTCACTTTCTTAACAGGACCCAGAGGAGAACAAAAAGCATCAGGGACAAACAAAGGCACAAGAAGCATGACAGGGAACAGGATCTAGCAGGAGGAACCAACAAGGAGCAAGAGAAAAAAGGTGTTTTAGTATTGGGAGAGTGAATGATGGAACAAAGGACCTGGGCTGATTAGCTAACAGGTTCCAGGTGTGAGGGGAGAGAGCACATTAAAAAACTGAATCTTGCTTTAAAAAATAACTAAATGAAAAAAAGATGACTAAACTAAAAAAAAAATAATAAACTAGAATCACTAAGAAAGCACTGAACTAAAGTAAAACAAAAACAAAGCTAATCAAACAAAGAACCTAAGGAACACAGAATATTGACACTAAAAACAAACCCCAAAACAATCCAGGACCTGACAGGATGTCTTTATCTGATGTTAAAATATGCGTGATCATCTGCAACATCAAGTTTGATGAAAAGCAAAAAGAAATTTATCAGTGTGCAAATACATTTTTAATGGCCTGGTGTATTTGATTAAGTTGAAAGTAAACAAGTTTTTGCTAAAAAGACACATTTTTGTCACAGAAAAATCATACTTTACCAAGAAAAGTTATTTACCTTGTAATATTGACACACTCAAATACAAAGACTTCCATAATCATTGGTACCTCGGGTAAAGACGTGTAAAAAGCCTTAAAATAAATTCAAACATATGTGTAGGAGTATAATTTCATACTGCAGTTTTCAGAAAAAGTCCTCCAACTCATTGGCGCCCTGTACTTACTATGCTAAGTCTTCAGAACAATAACCCTCGGCACACATGGAAGTGGATTTTTAAAAATCATTATTAATATTACCATATTTAGGATAATTAGAGTGTCAAAAAGGACTATTAATAAATAATACATAACTTTCTGGCTCTCTTCAAAATAGTAAAAACAAGAGAGCATTCTATTTGGATAGGGCAGATAAATGTTGATCTTTTTACAGTCAAGGAATGGCTTCAAGAAATTAGCTATAGATTAGAGCACTGTCTTCAGACTGAATTTGTGCTTGGTGTAGGAAAAGATACACCACCCACTGTCTTGGCCTTGTGGAAACTAAAATGATTGGATTTCCGTTACATCTAGAAATCTACATCTGAATGAAAATCAAGTGGGATATCTAGCTTAGAAATATATCACATTTATATTGATTGTTCAAATGAAAAGAGGAAAAGATGTGTGTGTGTGTGTGTGTGGGGGGGGGGGATGAGTTATAGAAAGCAGTAAAAATGAGTCATTTCCCGTCAACAGGAGGGGAAAGTAACATGAGCCGGTCCAGATACCATCATCCAGCGGTTTCTGTTGCTTTGTCTCATATTTATTCTCCCTTCCTCTCAGTGCTAATGATCCATCTGAAAGACACACAGACGTACAATGAAACGCAAACATCAAAGAAGCTCTTTGAAAGGCACGCCGAGGCATTTTGCAGACCGAGTGAGTCTCATGCACGGACATGCTGTTAATGACTCCGACATGTTGCAGCATTTTGTTTGCTCAACGTCAGCGACAGAACAGATGAGAGCGAAACGTTGCGGATCGCGCCAGGCTGTCCGACTTACTGTGGTGAAATGAACGATGCAGGTGACGGCGATGACGAGAAGGCCGATGATGATGGATGCTATGGAGACGTACAAGGCGCTCCTGCCCAGCCTCTTGGAGCCGTCATAGTCACCTTGGTAGTAACTGTTTCTAGACTGGGAAATAAAAGACAGGCACAGGCAGGGCAGCTAATTTATTTATACAGCATCTTTTGCAAGGCAACTTAATCTCAGCGTGCATTAAGATAAAACACATCAAAACAGATTTATTACACGCAAACTTGGCACTGTAAACATTTTCTTCAGTATCCCAGCCTTTAAATTTCAATTTTTATTCATAACTTCTTTAAACGAAGAAGAGAAAAAAAAGGGGCAAATATACTTAGACATGTGTAGTGACCTGCAAAAAGTATTCATGCTCAAATCTTTCCATTTGATCATTACAACCTCAAACTTTGCAGTGTTTTATTGGACTCTTATGCGATTGACTAAATAAATCAGAATGTAATTGGTAAGTGAAAAGAAAATGATATAGTTATTTGTGTCTTTTAAATAGATACGAACATCGTCATGTGTTTCAAAAACGTCCTGCCTCCTACGTCAGACTAAGATGAAAAGTTTTGTGAATCCTAGACAAATGGGTGACGAACTTTTCCAATTTTTATTTGTTAAAAATATCTAAAAAAAAAAAAAAAAAATCCATTGTTTTCACATTTACAGTGTTGGTCTATAACAAAAACAAAAAAAAACAAACAAACACTAGAGACATTAAAGATTGTGGTTGAAATGTGGCAAAGGTGAACGCAGCATCAACGTTTTACTTTGATGGACTGAAATCCTGTCGTCTTTAGAACCAGTAAGAGGATAAAAATAGAAAATAAAGTTGCTTGACGGGCGGAGCAGGTGTGTGTGTGACTGTGTTACATCTCAGGGTCCAACAGACTGACTCCCAGGTCAGAGGGCAGCGTCACCGCAGTAATTTAAAAACACCCTTTCCTTTAGCGTCTTTCTCCTTTCCTCCTCTCTGTTCTGCTATTTTATGTGAAAAAAAAAAAAAAAAAATTTAAATCCAGCTGGGTTAGTCTGCGTAGTCCATACGTACCATGACAGAGAAGACCAGGGCCACTATGTTGACGGGGTACGCCGGACAGAAGCACGTCAACATGGTCAAACAAAGGTAGCTCCGGAAGGGAGGTGGAAGTTCCTGCTCTTTCAAAGAGCCACGGTCAAAAAATGTGCTCCCGTTTAAGGAGCTTTTTGTCTGCGAGTCGAGCACACCGACCGCCATTGACGTCCAGAACACGTATAGTATTTAATAAAAAAGCAAAAACAAAACACTAAAACAGCCCAAAAAATGCTGATTAAAATCACAAAATGTGACTAAGAAATAAGACCAAAGAAGGGAAATCCAGCTTGAGGAGTTGAAGTCCAGAAACCGACGTCTTCGGATCGAGTCAGATGAGGTTCTGTGGATGTTTTTCCATTTCGCCTCTGTAGGTTTTTCTGTTTGTAGGCAGAGATGGTAAAAGGAGAGAAGTGGAAGATGATCTGTGACCCTGCTGGCCTCGGTCCAGCTCCTGACTGTCAGTGAGGGGATCAGACTGTTTACCACCTCTGATCCGGCTCCTCACACAGCCAGCAGCCAGCCCTCTGTCCTACAGCACCCCACTGAGTGTGACATATGTGCTAATTTTCTTTTTTCTTGTCAAAGTAAAGTAAAAGCACAACGTGATTTTCACAAAGAAACTTGTTTTCTCCATCCACCTGATGCAGATTCGGAGCAGCAGTTGTCCCATGTTGCCAACATGTAGGTCCCGCAACAATAATTAGGAAAAAAAATGTGTAAGAAACAAAAGATTTAGTCTTGATTTTATGTACATTTAATGTGTGAAGTCCATAAAGCAAAATACGGTTATTCTGTTGTCATTGTAACGGCTGTGCTTGGTAACAAACTTGTCAAAAAAAAAAAAAAGTTATTTTGGGTCTGACTATAGATTTGACCAATTTTGTGTAACTTTTTTTTTTTTGTAATTTTCCAATTAACACAAATAAGCTTTAGTTTAGTAGTGTGTTCTCTTCTCTTTCCTGTTTTGAAGATGTGCCTCAACGTTTTGTCCTTCTAGAAACACGGAAAAGCAGTAAGTCATTGAATTTCTTGAAAGCATCTTAAGTAAAATATACATTTTAAAAATATT